ACTTCTTCGAATGGATGAAAAACTTAACAAACACCTTCATCTTACAATCTAGGACTGAACTGAGCAAAACCCAAAGAAAGCTAAAAATGATCAGTTAACTTCTTGAAACTAATTACTTATTATTCCTCTCAACTCCACTGTTCGAATGATAACTATCACAATAAAGGTTTATTATTTAGTATAGTCTCACTGTAAACACTCTTCAGTGTAGCAGTTGAGGTAGATCTAACAAAGGAGTACAGAGGGTGCACCCCACCCCCCTGGTGAGATGACCTGTGGCTTTCTAATAAGACAAAACCTGTCAATTAATTACCTTGACAGAGCCTGTAGAGGGGCTGATATCTTTCACCTCTGTAATTATAGAATTTGAATAAAAACATTAATTAAAACCAAAAGAGGAAAGAGGAAAGAAAACAAAAATCAAAGAAATCAAATGTGCTTTTTAAAATAAATACATGGCATACCCAATTGTATAAAATTTACCTCCAGGTTGGTCTTCATCATTATCTGAGGTGGAACAGATTTCCTCCAATGCTGAATCTAACTCTTCTGCCGAAATGTTAAAGATCTGATGGGGCAAAAGACATAATTATGTATATATTAACACTCTAGTACATTTTTTGTGTATGGGTGTTTATGAGTATGGTGTTCTTGTGTCTATATGTGTGTGTGCTTATGTCAGTGTCAGAGAATTAACACCAAAATTTTTAATTTGCTTCATTTTGAGACAGGAGTTAGAAATCAAATAATTATGCCAAACATTAGTCTTTCAAACTGGTACAAGCACTAAACATCCATCCTAGTAAATCACATGATAATTCACTAATTTACTAGTTAAAGGGAAATTACCAATGACAGTGACTACCAGTAAATATTATGTACCTGACAAGGGGTGGCAATGTCTGGTTGATCAACCTGAACTTCTGTTTTGATGTTGTCCTGAAGTGCTGCAGCACCAATTCCAGTGTCACCAAGAACATTTGAAATGTTTAGCTCTGCACTCATGTTCAGCAAATCTAGACCAGATTCGGGTCAGTGCATTTTATTAATGGATACACTACCATCATTTTGTATGAAAATGCATTTTGTAAATATAAGATTAAGGAGCAAATTAATGATCTCTAAACTAAAATCATGTCCAAAAACAGGTGCAAAGAAGAACATCATTAATACCCTCAGAAACATCCATGGCTTCTTCTTCAAATCCTGTGTCACTTCCATAAGGAGTATTAGGAGTTGCTTGTGGTTTTTCATCAACCTTGATATGCAATGTTTTAAAAAATTGCATTTGGTCAGACACTTAAAAATGAAAAAATGTTGAAACGATGAAGGTCATAGAAGCTTTGTGCTTTTTCTATAATTTCTGTTTCTATAAAAAATTCAGCTGTGCTTTGATGGTTCAACCCTTAAATTCACGTGAGTGACCATTATTGCAATCACTAAACAATCGAGAAGACAAGTGCATGAAGATATCTAGAGTAATGTCAATTAAGAGACTATTTGTTGATCCAATACCACATTCTCTGAACTAATATCATTAGAATGGTACAACAGACAGTAAGGAAAATTACTAAATAAATGAGATCTTGAAAATGAAAAGTTTTAAACTAGGGGTTTTAATAGAGAATTGTGGTAGCAAGGAAGAGGAATAAGATAAAGTTTTCTACATGTGAATAAAAATAGCCCAGGACATTGAAATAAGGCCACTAGAGATATCTCCTATTTCCCATACCTTGTACAAACTAATTACATGGTAAGCACCTTATTGAGGGAATTTTCTATCTAAAACATAGAACAAGTTGTCAGGCCCCAGGGTGGCACACACACACACACCCTTAAGACATATAAGGACCCCTGGAGTTAATAATACATACCTCTGAAGATGTGCTGCTTGTTTCATGATCACTATCGTCTGAAAGTTCCACTTTAGATCCAAACAGTGACTGAAACACTTTAGGTGGCATCTGAAACTGTCTCTCTATCACCTCATCCTTGTCATTGACCTTTTTGCTTTCTTTGTACTCTTTTGCCCCATCTTTTTTGTAAATGTTGAGCAAGGCTGCCCTCAGACCATTGCTGGCCTTCCTTCTGTTGATGTTCTTGCTCTTAAAATGAGGAGTTTTCTTGGATTTGTAGATGGCATAGCGCTCCAAGGTCCTGGACCAGTTTAGGACATAGCGCCCCTTCTTATCCACAAATTTTGCATCTTTTCCTTCTCGAATCAAACCTCCAATGAAATGGTACACACCATGGCCACTTGAATCCTCGTTTCCTGAAAAGACAAACAAACAAAAAATTTTCAGAAAGAATCAAACGAAATGTACAATGAAGTTAAGTTGACATGTAAGTACCTAATATTCTGCTGTAGTTTCACTTTTTTCTGTGCGAGTCAGACTGTACCAGTTTCAGAAGTAAACTTTCCCCAATAATCGCCCCAATTCCCTGATTTAAGAGGGTTGTGGGAATTTTAGAAACCACAAAATGCATATGCAACAAAACCTCATATGATCCAGAATAACTTGCACTTAAAATTAAATCTCGCAAAAGCCGGCTCACATAGGATTTTTGAAATACTCTATCCAACTGTATTGTCTAAACATAGGCAACTCTGGGGATCTGGCCAAGAATCCTTGTTTGAGGTAAAATCGATCAGTTATGAACTTAATAAGTTGGAGGAAAGGACAAATTGTCCGAAAATTGCTTTTTTAACCCGACCTGTTTACATGTGGGAAGAAGTCATGACCAGATTCGCCCTGCAGATACAAATTGGCTCGTTCACTTCCAGCTCCACAAATAGTAAGCAACATACATCCTGAGGCTCCCTTATTCGACAATTTCAAAGGAATCACAGGAAATTACACCATTTTATTTGTTCCACGTGAAATCTTTGTTAGTTTAGTTTTACGCTGAGGTAGCACAATTCGAACCAGTTTGGGAAAAGTTCAGTGCTAACAGAAGAAAAAAGCGCATGAATATTACTCACCATCTCCGACTTCAGCCCCACGTTTAGGCATGCCAGATCAGGTTTTAAGCTAAACAAATGGCCAAAATGTTTCATCAAAATCAAAAGAATATTCCTCCCCGAACCAACCACTTCACTACTGCAATAAATGTGTCTTTTCGATAACACTCATTTGATCCTTTATGTAAATCAAACGTTATGTCCAAGATACTTTCTCATGTCGTGATTGGTTGATATTTCGCAGCCTGTCTTCTGATTGGTTGTTCGCTTTTTGTACCCCTCCAAAACGGAAGTTTATTTTTGCTCTCCTAACTGGGATAAATTTGGTAACATTACATCATGGCTTCTTCGATGCCGAATAGTCAAAAATACTCGCAGTTTTCGAGTGATTTCTTTCATCGAAATCAAGCGCAATTGAATCCTTTGGATGTTCTCTGCTTCAAGAGAGGTGCTGTTTTTATGAAAAGAATAACTTGACAAAGTTCTTCCTTCTTCTAAGTGAAAGATTTCAGCGAAAATCATTTTGTACCAGTACAAACCGGAAACAAGGATGAAAGCCTTTTTGAAAAGACCATCAGTGGGAAGAAATTTTCATTGGAACCATGGAGTCGGGAATCCCGGAACAAAGAGTGGAATATATGCGTGATGGGCAAAGTCACGAGGGAAAAGGCAACGTTCTTTCTAGTTTTTGGCTGCTTGGATCTGGTAACCCCTACAGCTACTCCAAACAACTAAAGCTTGTAAATTAACGTATTTATTTGCAATCGAGACGAGAAGGCGTAGTTGATGTTGTGAATAAAATTTTGATTAATTTGAGCGCGCTGATGTAGCCACCAAGTTTTATGCCAATCCCTCATTTTTTCAACCCGCTTTCCTTCTTTCCTCTCTCCGCTGCTTCAATCGCGCTCCGTTTTATATAAACCTAAGGCCTTATAACCGTAATGACGGCATTACTTTTGTGTTTACTTGGCCTCATCTGAGCACAAGAGGCGTTGGAGAAATTCTCCAAAGTTCAGCAAACTGGAGAATTCGTTCGGGTTTTGCAAACCCCTAACCTTGTAATAACTAATGAGACACTATTCACAAGAATACATCGCCTTACTGGTGTGGTTCAAGCTAATAATCTGAGTGTAGCCGAGTCAATATCTGTGCGTTCTTGATAAAGCGTGAGGTGGAAGGTGGGAAAAAAGAAAGAGGCTAATATTCAGCCATCTTGACCTAACAAGCTTGGCCAATGAAGGATTTAGCAATATGTAGCAAAGAGATCATCGCATAATCAAAAATCAAGACTTGTTTATTTCGAGAGACGGGAAAGAAAGCCAACCGTATTTGTGGCACAATATACGCAGGAGAGTCGTTTTATTTTTTCTTTCTCTTTTTTGACTGTTTTCTGTCTCTTTTGCAACTTTATCGCCGACATTGTCCACAAATTACGAAGTTTGTAAGTCCACTCGTGCACTTTATTTTTAATTCGCGGGATCAAAGCGAGTAATCCCGTGCAGGCAAGATGGCCAGTACGAAGGATTCGCTTTAATTTGCCCACGGACGCCGACTGCAATATAATCAACGAGGTTGTCCACGGCGTGACGGTTACAAATACAACACTGTTACTGGTTAGGTAGGTAATATAATTTTACGGGCGTAACTTTAGATTTCCATTGTCTAAACCTAACTGCTACGAATTCTCTGTTCATAGTGAAGTTCCAAGAAATTCGCCCTCAGAAAATTATTTTATCAGAAACGAGCCACCGGAGAGGAATTTTTGATGGTCAGTAAGCGGGTATTTTCGTGGAGTACAAAACCAAATATGAAAATTTCTGAAGAAGCTCCGAATATTTCTGAGGTTATCCCAATAAGTTGACAAAAGTTTGTTTCCAGTCAGTTCTCCCACTAAGGCAGCAACCAAGTTGGATTTTATGGTACGTTCCGTGTCATTGGCCAGAAAAGTGAGGACAGTCCAACTTCTTCGCTTTTAAAGTAAATACAAAAGGTATTTGGCGTCTGATTTTTTTAATCAAGCTAACAAAAGAGAAAACTTAATGAAAAAAAAAAAAAAAAACAGCTTAATCTTAAATTTTAATGTCAATTTTAAAAATGTAAACGTACAATATAAACATCTATTTACAAATCCTCGAATGTGTTTTCACTCTTTACACCCAAAGAATGATCGGCATCTAATATCTCCTTACGATGATAATGCTGAATCCTTCAGTAAGGTAATGAGAATGAAGGAAATGATCGCTAACCTAAGAATTTTTTTTATTGTTAAATGAATTCTCCTTGTCATTACTAAAAGAAATGTATAAAGTAAAGTAGGGAGAACATGGATGATAATGTTCAGCTGCTTAGCACTAATATGTACAAACGAGTAAACATTGGAGACCACATGGAAAAAGTAGCTCTTGCCTCGATACAATTAGTTCAACATCTGTTCGACGTTTAATTTGGTTTGATGGTCCTCAATTAAATCTTCTCCGAGCTCGGTGTTGGTGGAAAGCATCAAGCCTCTGAAAAAGAAAAGCAAACTATAAAATTTAAACTCATAATTCACGCTATCCTTTAGTCTTCTCCATATCTTGGTATTCCTTATTTATTTATTTATTTATTTATTTAAAATGATGAAGAACTGAAATACTGATAAAACATGGCTACAGGAATGACTGTCATATAAGGTGCACAATATGTAGAGGAAAGCAGGAGCGCAAATATACAAACTCAAGAATCTTCTCTAGCATGAGAACTCCCTAAATAGCCCATTTCCGAATTACCCTTGGCCTCTTTTTCAAAACGAGGCCTGGTGCTCACACATTGTTGTGAAAATGAGTTTAATTTGCATGTGAATGAAAACTTATTATCATACGAAAGGACGAGCACCAGGACTCGTTTTGAAAACCAGGCTAAGGGTAATTCGGAAATGGGCTATTGAAACGCCACATGACCCTGGAAAGTTAGACGTAAATATTTACAAGGTAACTTCACTGTAAACACCATTTTTATAAGAACCTACAAAGGCTAACTTAATAAACCTGTGTTTTTATATGCAGGTTTTAACTATACCACATTTTGTCAATCAGTCAAGTATTCTAACCGTGCAGGAATTATCTTCAAATGCGCTTAATACTGACTAGGGGCGCCGCCATTTGAAAAAAAAAAAAAAAAAACCAAAGGAAAAAAAATCAGTAACCTAAACACACAAGACGTAATTACAAAGCGCATGTTACAAACATATCTATCGAAATAAAAAAAATTTCACTTGACTCAAGCTTGCATTTTTGTGTGGCCCTCAACTCCTTCCAACCATGGCGATGAGACTTTGTTGGACAGAGTCCTTAGTGGAATACGAATACAATTCTTTGAGCGGTTCTATATAAGCTTCAAAGGCAGCGATAAAAATAATTCGCTTGTTATAATATCATTCGATCAAGCATAAACTCAACAACTAATAACGAGCTTTTTTAACATGCCCGCCGACTCGAAAGTTCAACAACACAACGCACATGGGTTCCCATTTTCGGGGTGCCGTGCAAGTCACTCAGGGGTCCCTAAGGGGATCCCCAAGGGTTTCAATTTACAACATCTCCCCCCTAACATGATTCAATGAGTCTCTGCGGCCTGCTAACTTGACGCCCAGATCTGGTTGTAATGGGAGAGGGTCCAATTGTTTCTGTCTGTCTCTCTGATGGGACTGAAGTTCACGCTGGCTTCCCAAGTACAGGCGCCGGTCTTGTACTCGCAAGAGAGTCATGAGGTTGTGTACTCGTGAGAAGAGCCCTTGTCCTCGGTGTCATGGGAAAGTCATTTGGAACAGCGATGATCTGCCTTCTGTTTCTCCTGTAAGTACGTCCACATTCATCTTCCAGTAGGCATGATCTTGGCATAATTTCCGCTTTGCGCCATTCCTTCTCCCCATTTGGACGAAACAGCACCCTGTCCCCAACGTCAAGTGGAGGCAAATCTCTATTCTGCTTGTCGTAATTAGACTTGGCATTATGCTGTCGATGATGAAGCGTTTTCAGAACATGATCACGATCCACTGGCTGAGGTAACAAGAGACGTCGATGAGTTGGTATCATTGTTCAAGTGCGCCGAATCATCAGCAGCTGTGCAGGTGACACACCAATATCTTCGAATGGGGTGTTACGATACTTTAGCAGTCCCTCAAATGGGTCTTTGTTCTCTGCAGCAGCCTTCTTAAGAATGCGTTTTGCGGTCTGTACAGCTCTTTCCGCTGCACCATTGGATTGGGGATACTCTGGTGAGCTGGTTGTATGGGAAAATCCGCACTCTTCAGCGAATCTCTTGAACTCGTGGTTTCTGCTTAACAAATGTGTGGTGTTGCTGTATTGCGGTCCGTTATCACCGACAACTTTCTCAGGGATTCTAAACCTGGCAAATATTTTCTTCAAGTTGTTGATAACACAAACAGCAGTGTTCTGGCGAAGTAGTTCTATTTCAAAGTAGTTCGAATAGAAGTCAGTGACTAACAGGTATGTTTGGCCACCATATTCAAACTGGTCAGTCTCAACTACTTGCCAAAGTAATCCTGGAATGTCATGAGGATGTAATGTTTCTTTATGTTGTCGGTTGCGGAACGCATTACACACAGCACAGGAACTGACTTTGTCTTTGATTTGCGCAGTCATGGAAGGCCAGAAAACGGAATCCCTCGCAAAGGAAAGGCTCTTGCTCTCTCCCATGTGGGCTCCATGAATTTCATCTAACACTTCAGCTCTCAATGGTCTTCGCAATACAATTCTGTCTGATTTAAATAACATGCCATCCTCAACACTTAGTTCTTCTCTCAAACTCCAATATTCACGGGCAAGTTCATCAACTTGTTCTTTCGCAGAGGGCCATCCTCTCAAAACGAACTCCATAACTACTCTAGAAGTCTCATCACCACTTGAGCTCTCCTTGATTCTCTTCAGAGTACTGCTTTCCAATCCAAGTTCCTCAACAAGATTAACTCCTATGACATCTTCAGGTCCGCTGAATGGTTTGGTTTCACTGAGAGGTACTCTGCTGAGGCAGTCTGAAATGACCTGCTGTTTTCCAGGAACGTAATGCACCACAAGGTCATACTTGGTGAGTTTCAGCAACATCCTCTGTAGCCTTGGAGGGGTCTCATTCATTGGTTTGCGAAAGATTGACTCCAACAGTTTGTGGTCTGCCTCAACAATAACTCTGCGCGCATACACATATGTGTGAAATTTTTGTACTCCCCATACATTGGCCAACAGCTCTCTTTCAATATTTGCATAGATATTTTCTGAGGGAGTCAATGTCTGTAGCGGCCGACACAAGCGAAGCAAAATTTCAACGACAACTATGAGTTTCGCAAATGAAGACACACTATGAAGCGAGAATATATTTTACGGACAAGCCTTGAATCGTTTTATTTAACGTAGTCGTGCTATCCAAGTACTTATCGTAAACTGAAATATGAATTTATAAGGAAGAAGCTAAGCTAAATGCGAATAGACAAACCAACATTCCAAACATTCCGATACAAAGGCAAGATGCAAAGCTAGCTAAGAACTCAAACAAACTTACAAATGAACTATATATAAGCTCAAGGAAAGGAACATTAGCACTTACATAACAGTCCCGCTTGTAAGAATTGAACGAAAACGAACTTTAATATAAGGTAGATATTGGGAAGCGAAACGGGAAATCTAAACAGACACTTACTCTAACACAGAAAACTGTAGTCTTACGGCAAACGACAACAACCAAACGATAAACTAAAAAACTACAACAACTCTTCTCTAAAAGTCGCACACGTCAACATTAAAAAGGGTCCGCGTGATTTGCTTACGAGATTACTTCGTAATCTCAAAGTACGCGCACGCGAGTCGCGCGCGCACAAGTTTGTCAACGTCTTCTTAACAGAAGGCAAAAGGCGTGGCAGCCGTTACAATGTCTTCAAACTGAAGGCAACTGGTTTGTCCTCCTGCATGATTACTGTACCAAGCCCTGTGCTACTGGTATCACCACTTAGCATGTCTCTTTGCTGTTATTAAAGTATGCTAACACTGGTGAACTAGTGATGACAGACTTCAGCTTATCAAAAGCTTCTTGTTGTGGCTTCTCCCACACTAATGCCACATCTTTCTGGGTAAGCTGTGAACTTGGCTCTTGTAGATCAGCTTTGTGTTCAATGAACTTGTCTAACTAATTGACAGTTCCTAGTATTCGAAGTACACCTTCTTTGTCAGAAGGAGGAGGCATCTCACTGATCGCCCGGATCTTATCAAGTTTCAATCCCTCGGCCGAAAACACATGTCCAACATAGCTCACTTCAGGAACGCGAAGTTTCACTTTGTTTGGATTGAACTTCAATCCTACTTCTCTGCTTCTAGCCAGTACTCTTCTCTTCTCAATTTCTGATCAGTGTCAATTTGATCCTTACCATGTATCACGATATCATCCACTAAAGCCCCCACAGGAACTCCTTCAAAGAGTTTGTCCATCTCTCTTTGGTAGATTTCAGGGGCAGAAGACATGCCAAAAGGCGGAGCCTTGTAAAGCGATATCGACCCCATGGGGTATTGAATGTTAAGAGCTTTGAGCTTTCATCATCCACTGGGAGCTCCCAGTATCCACTGCAAGCATCCAGGGACATGAAACTCTTTGCACCTGATAATCGGTTGGCAACCTCCTCTACAGTAACTATTGGATAGTGCGGCCTCTTAAGAACTTTGTTTAGGTCCCTTGGGTCAATACAAATTCGAACATCTTTATCTGAGAGTGGAGTGTTCTTTTCTTTTACTTTCCGTTTGTCAATCACTAACATAGAGGAAACCCAAGGGGTGTGTTCCTCCTCTTTTACAATAATCCCATCTTCTTCCATCTCTGTGAGCTTCTCTCGTGTTGGTTCAAGAAGTGCAATTGGAAGTTTTCTTGGAGGATGGATGACTGGAGGAACTGACGGATCAACTTCCAAGTGTACTTTGTTCGGTAACTTGCCAGGTTTATCACTAAAGCAATCTTTATAATCCTGCAACACAAGATCGGTCTGGAAGACACTTGGCAGGTCTGGCTCAGGTTATTTTGACGCTGGAGTAGGTATCAGTTCAACGTTCATAAACGCAAGGACTTCTAAATCTAAACAAGCATCACAACCCAGCAATGGTGTACAATTTCCATCTACCACAAGATACAACAGGTTAAGCTCACGACCCCCATACTGAGTCTGAAGCCTCACAGATCTTTTTGGATGGATGGGTTTAGGTGAAAGCCAGCCCTTCAAAGGTTGCTGAGATTTCTGGAGAGGTTTGTTTGTGATTTCCTTGTACAGCTCATAGGGAATGACTGTACCTTCTGCACCCGTATCTACCTTGATCTGTACATTCTTGCCAGCAATTTTGACAGTAACCTAACTCCTAGATTTCTTTCGAGTGCCGGAGACACTATCCAGCTCAACTGAATCAAAATATGCGTGCACATCGTGATTCGTAGGAGGATCATGCTCTACGGGTGCAAGAAGTGAACCTTCACCTCTTAGTTCTTTGCACACTTGTGCAAAGTGTCCTTCCTTCTTACAATTGTTGCATTTCTTTCCAAGAGCTGGGCAGCGAGGTGGTTGAGTAAATGGATGCTTGTAACCACAGAACTTGCAGTTACGACCAGGTGTCTTGCGTTGAACCTTGACTTACTTGAGAGGGTGAAGTGACCGTTCAGAACCCGCCATAGTTGGTGTATTGAATTTGTATTTCTGGTTTTCGGCTGCCTCAAATGTACGGCAATATTCATGAGCAGTTTGCCGCGTTAAATCTGGTTTCTTCAGCAGTTCACCTCGCAATTCATCTGACAAAACTCCTCCAACAATACGATCACGAATGGGTGAATCTCGGAGGTCGCCCAATTCACAAGTTAAAGACAGTCTTTTTAGTTCACTGACGAATTTGTCAATCCCACCTTCCTTCTGGTTTCGCTGATTAAACACCAGTCGCTCATAAATTACATTTTTGGCACCCTAGCACAATTCCTCAAAAAGGCGACAGACATCTTGATAGCAATCTTTGTCTTCTTCATCGGTAAACACGAAGTGACTGTACTCTTCGATTCATTGGCCCAGCACAATGTAACAGCAAATTTACTTTTAGCTTGTCCGCTTTATTATCCTTCCCCTTCACAACAAGGAAAATCTCAAACTGCATAAAAAATTTCCTCCAATTCTCAGCAGCATTCGCGTCTAGGAGCAGTGGACCGGGCATTCGAGAGTCTCCCTCGGCCATTATACAAAATACAGAAATACAACTCACAGGAAACTTGCTTGTCCTATCAACTCGTCTCACAATGCGGCAAATTCGGATCCCACTCCTGACACCATGTTATTAGTTGTTGAGTTTATGCTTGATTGATTGATATTATAACGAGCTTTTTTGACAACGCTTTCTAAAGCTTCCTTCTCCCTTTATTGAGCCCTATGCTTATTGTTAAAATACAGAGGCAGTAAGGCTAAAAATACTTACATTCAAGACTTGGAGTGCAATGCTTCATCCTTCTCGGGAAGAGCTGGTGCCGAAATTATCGGCGTACGTAGCCTTGTTCCCAGTTTTTCTCCTCTCTCTTACGTTCAGCGAAGAGAATGAGTTTTCATAACATTTCAAGAGTATTTTTTCAAAAGTCTATTTACGACGTAAACTTCAATCACTTGGCAGGTCGCTAACAAGTTTGCAGAATTGGTGATCTAATCTGTTCCATTTTCATAGAGGAACTGGATATGTATCGCTTGCTTTGTCTTCGCTTATTTCTACAGCACGTCTGTTCTTATCAGCCACTGAATTCTGATCAAAGTTCCTGCTTCTGTTCGCCAACAACAGATCTCGTCGCTGATTATTCGCCTCTAGTAAACCTGGAGACATGCGTCAAAAACAGTGACATGATATACTTTTTTAATTTACGAAAGAAGCAAAACGACAATAATAATGATAACAATAAAAATAAAAATAACAATTAAATGAAAACAATAATAAAAATCAAAACACACATACAAATGTTATCCTACTCAAAAGTTAATCTACCATATACACTTCATATCTTCATATCTTCATATCAAGCTAACCAAGTGTGAGCTATTACTGTTTTCAAAACTTCAAAAAGAGTTTATTTTAGATAAAAACTTCAAAACTGTTTTCAAAATTTTATCTAAAGTATGGAGAACAAAAGAAGTAGAAACCTTGTGGATCTGTGTGGGGGTCAAGTGTGAGGTCTTTTTTCATAAATTTATTTCGTGAATTGAACTTTACAAATTCGTAATCATGGGGCAACCTCCAAGATACCTCTTTAACTCCTTTTCCTTTCCCCCACCCCCACTCTTTAGCTACGCCCTTGGAAAGACAATTGCATCGAGAGAAGACTTCTCAAGTCCTAACATAACCCACCTCTTTCCTGAGGCTTGGGTTTCAGATTGCCAAGGTCTTGAGGATCAACATAGCCCAATCTGGCCTGGAGAAGGTCTAATTCATTTATTTCCTTTGCTTCTTTCTCAGCTAAATCTAATCAAATGGGGAGAACAATAGAAATTATCAATTCTCATTTTTAAGAGCTGTTATATGAATAATAACGTATTTGTGCACGATCCTCGCAATGAAGAGGACTATTTGAAGTGCCCCTGAGACGAAAATTGACCATTTTATTTTGGCCTAAATTGTTTACACAATGTTGAATTGGGACAAGTTAAAACCCTTTTGCCATTAAAAACTCAAAACAAACCTTCGATGACTAATTTTAACCGCTTCAAAGTCGTCCAAAAATCGCTGCAAATATGTTTCAGCCAAGCCCGCAATTGTACAGCAGAAAACGTTATCATGACGTCAAAGGCTCAACAAACTTATGCTTTACTTTGTCACAACTCTCTTTGTTCGCTGCACAGAGAATCACACATATTACTTTTTTGAGAACTGTTTTGTTGTCAGTCGTGAAATGTCGACATTGTCTGACGATGAACTGTCCCAGAAATCATCTTAAGCTTCTGTGGATAGTTTTGCGCCGACAAACGATGAATTTTTTCCATGCGAATAAAGATAAACACAGAACGGCACGGCTCCCCATGTGGCTTTTGTGGTCGCATCGCTTTATCGCCTTCGATCTGTATTTTTCCTTGTCGTAAGGGATTTTCTTTTTTTGTAAGAAATGATCGGGTGTTTACTGAGTAAAAGTAATTTGCGGCAATGGCTGATTGTGTATCCGAAGGCGGATATTGGGAGTTTGTGAAAGCTATCTCCAAGCCATCAATGTGTTTGCCCCGATGCATTCGGTTAATGATCTCATTAACCCTTTCCTGCGTGTTTTTTACTATCGGTGCTTTAAGAGGTTTGAAGTGAACTCCGTTGTTGAGTTGCACTTTGGCCTCTTTTGTTTTTTCTGTCTCATTCATGATGACTATTGTTGTGTTGCTTCGGTGAGGTTTAAAGCAGAGTTTGTTTCAACTCTTTTAGAGCCGTGACTTCATTGCGTTACAAAGTATTTTTTGGCTTAGATGCAGTCTGCAAGAGCGTTATGACAGTTTTCCAAGTAGCTCTGAAGGGCGATAGAAGATTGAATCGGTGGCATTCAGTTTGATATGAAACAGAAGTGGTTCTTTGTTTTGTCTGTAAAAGGTGTAACGGAGGCGCATTTGTCTTGCGAATAAATCTCGCAGAAGTTGGCCTGATTTTACATTCGTTTGTCACGGGCGTTGGGATGAATCTGAGACCCTTTGATAGCACGCTGACTTGGGTGTCAGATGGTTGATAGTTTGAGAGGTTTTTTAAGAAATTTTCAAGCTAGCATTATTTAGAGTCAGAGCACACAATTACATTTTTCATCTCTTTTGTATAAAAGTGAGCTCTTTGAGGTCAGAAATCTCAATCCTCAATTCGCCAATTTTATCATTCTTATTTACAATGTTCACCGACTACTTTGCTTTGTGTAAGGTATCTTGGCAGAGCGTTGTTAAAGGTGGATCAGGTCATATGTAAAGGTGACAAAACCCGTGGAGGTTCGTAGACTTCGCTTTTGTCGAGATCGCACCAAGGACGGTTTTTCTTGTCCCTTCTCTTGAACGATAGGCACTGAACCCGACAGAATTTTCTTCGCCTAGATCCTTCAAAGTACACAGATCTCTCGAAACAGTCCTCCGAGAGGTGTTCGGAATAGATCAGGATTGAAGCTCGGCGAGGTCGCACAAATCGCATCCGTTTTTCCCGCTCTGATCTATTTGCAAGGCTCCAATGCAGAGAAATACCTGCAGCATGGTTTGCACGATTACTTCAGCTTTGAATAGTCCTTTTTACAGTCGTGGGCTTGGTGGCCAGGCCTTTGAACAGAAGTGAGGCTAAGGGTTACCTTGTTATGATAGAGATGTTGCTGCTTTTCAAATGCAAACGTAAATGTCTTCGTTATCATGCTAACTAGATACAGGTCTCTATTACAACAGGGTCACCCTTAGCGTCACTCCCGTTCAAAGGCTTGGCCACCAAGCCCACAGCTGTAAAAAGGACTATTACGCAGCAATGCCTTGTCCGTTTTGTTTAGTTTTTGTAAGAATAGAGTAAAGCACTCTGTTATGTTTGCTTGACATTTTGCCATGTAAGATTTTCGCGTTGAGCCTTTGACGTCACTTCCTCTGAGTACTGCGATCAACTTCAGGAACATGATCAAATAATGGCGGACGCGAAATCGTGAATTTAACGGCCCGAAAAAAGATATTTCTGGTGCTCGGTCTAGACTGAAATTTGGCAGAGTAGGTGAAGGAGACACACTCAACACGAAAATGAAAAAAAAAATGATGTACGAAAATTTTAATCTCAGGGGCACTTTAAGCAATAGTGAAAATCAGACCTGAAAAAATTAAGGCCTGTACGGGATTCGAATCACTGACCTCTGCGATACTAGTGCAGCACTCCACCAATTGAGCTAACAAGCCAACTGGGAGCAGGTCATCATATTAGTTCAACATAAACCGTAAGATGATAAATCAACACAAAAAATATATGAAATGTAACCGCAGTTTTCATCAGATGAACTCATCACTAATAACTACAAAACAACACGTTGTTCTAATTTTATTGTAACTTCGATTGATAAAAAGCTGAAAGAAACTGTCATGGAGGTGACCTCTTTTAGTAAACCGCACATAGTTCTGCACATCCCCAAAAGGTGAATATGTTGAAAAAAAAAAAAAGGATACCTTTGTTGAGAGCCGTTTGAGGCCTGTCTTCAGAATCACAATCAGAATCAGAATTTTCGGAGTTAGACGATGTATCAACATCGCCTAAATAGCCACGAAGTCGTCTTTCTTCTTTCTCGGCAGCTTTCGCAGGTTCCAACCGATCGACTGTTGAGGAGAACTCTTGATTGGCCTCAATCTCCTCTGAGAATCTAAGCAGAGACGAAAAAATTAAATTTTGAATAATAAACGCAAATTCATCTCGAAACACCCTACAGATTGATAGTGGTCAAAACTCTTTACGGTGGCCAATGTACACAATCAACTCGGTTGATAAAACCAAATTATCTTGTTACAGTCCCCCACAAATGCAGCACCGCAATTTCTTTCAAAACCTGCTTCCCTTACTCTCTCGTCATAGCCACATTGATTCTACCGACAACCATTTAAATCCGATCGTTAGCGAAAAGTTACGTGGAACAAAATATTTAGCTCTGGTGGTAAGCATACTATGCTAATGTTATAATATATAGGGAGTTAACTTGTAACCAGTTTTTTCTATCTTGCAGAGCTTGATACTCTGAGTACCTTTTGTATTTTTCCGCGAGGTAATTTTCGAAGTTGTTGTTACTGTGATAATTGGCAACAGACTCGGACAGTATCTTCTCTTCTTTGTGAGCTAGATGGATTGCCCTTTTTGCTGAGTAGTTGAAGAAAATGTTAACCAACTGTAGGACATCATATTTTTCTGCTGTACAAACCAATGGGCATAACACTTGGTTTGGTTGTGAGAATCCTGGAGAAAATTATAGTGAGTTTGGTAAGTCTACCGAAAAAATAAATTACAAAATTCAAAACGTTTTAGAACTGAAGCTTAAAAAGGAATTGAGTAACATTTTCAGGAATTTTCTTCGGATGAGAAAAGAACTGAAAAGGACAGTTGTCGATGACTTGCGTTTGAACAACCTGAGCAAAAGGTTTTATCAGATTCAATTGAGGGGTTTTTCGGGACCAGTTGTGTCCAGAGTTTTTGAAAACGAATTTGCCAGTTTTACGGTGATGTTACTGGCTAGTGACTAAATTAAATGTGAAAGTAGGTATGTAATAGACTTCACTTTACACAGGTAACTCGTAACAGTAACTACTATTTCTAACAGACCTGTGGTCCCCTATTATGGTACAATAAGCCTTTGTTCTATGTGAAAAAAAATTGCTCCACATTTATTTGAAAAAAATAAAGGTCACCTAGCCGACCTATCCCAAAAAAACTGCCATTTCTCTACAACGGCCTCTATCTTCAGTCCCTAAAATGAACGTTACGGGGAAGTGAGACTTTTTTTAAAACTCATCATGTTTTGGAAAAGAAAAACCTTCGAGCTCAAGAGGATAATCGCTCTCTACAAGTGTTTCTAACTAGATATTATTTGCTAGCTTGTACCAAGTAGAAAGAATGGACAGAGTATCAGACCCACATGGTGGTGTTCTGATTGCTTATAAGAAAGATCTTGCTGTCACCAGGGAACACGATATGGAAACAGATTGTGAAATCTTATGATGCAGTCTTCAATTAGCTGACTGCAAAACCATCTACCTGAGTGCTTATTATAGACCCCATGAAGATGGTACACAATCCTTGCTAGAGCTCGAAAGGTCACTGTCTCTGCTAAAAGATCAGCATCATATATTACTTTATGGTGATTTTTACCTCCCAGGGTGGGACTGGAAAAAAAACATCTGGTAAAGAAATGTAATTTCCCAGGGCCGGGTTGTTCAAAGCTGGATTAAGATAACCCAGGGTTAGTGTGAAATTTGATTTCAGATCCGAAAGCTCTAAAAGAAAATTCAGTTTAATTCCACTTGTCTACAATTTGATGATTGAATGTCCAAGAAAGAATTAGAAAAACTATCCCAAAACGGCTTTTGATCAGAGAAATTTAGAAACCTAGATTAAAATTTAACCCTGGGTTAGTGCTAATCGGCCTTTGAACAACTGGGCCCTGGTCTCCAGTACCAATTTTGGACGATAAAAGTCTAGTCCAATTAGTTGAAGAACTAACTAGACAGCAGAACACCTTAGATTTATCTAATTCGAATCAGCCAAGCATCATCAAAGATGTAACGATCTTCCGGGTGTCTCAGATCAAGTTTGCGCACTTCTTACTTTAGACCTCAAGCCTGTTAGGCATAAACAGTCGCCCCGAAAGATCCTACTTTATGAGAGAGCTCAACAACAAATGAACTCTGGGAGAAACTTAAAGCCTCGATTAACAAAGGAATTGATAGGTATTTACCACATAAATATAGCAAGTCAAAAGATAACCTACCTTGGAGTACACCCAAGATTAAGAGGATGATAAAAATACGGGATAGGTTACAAATTAAACGAAAGGGTCTTGTTAGGGCCTTGAGAGCTGCTGATCTTAGGAAGATCACAAAGACGATTAAGGTGCTTAAGAAGTATATTCAAAGGCATATGCGGCAAGCCTACCGGAGCTATGTGGAGTCCATCATAACCCCCATTGAAGGGGACAGTAGGGAGGCGTCAGGATTAAAAAGATTCCGGACCTTCATTAAGCAATGCCGTAATGACACTTCAGGGATCAGCTCGTTGAGTGATGAAAAAGGAAATAAGGTATCGGTGCCAGACCAATTAGCCAATATTCTTAACACACAATTCCAGTCTGTATTTACGATTCAAAGTCCCGCACCAGAAGATCAGTTGCCACCTTCCCAAGAATGCCTGATATCCTAATATCAGAATCAGGAGTCCTGAAACTACTGCAAGAATTCAAGGTACATTAAGCTGCCGGCCCAGATCAAGACCAAGGGTATTGAAGGAACTGTCTCACATTAGAGCTCCTATTCTGTTACTAATTTACAGAAGATCATATGACACAGCCCAAGTACCAGATGACTGGAAAAAAGCTTATGCGACCCCAGTCTTCAAGAAAGGGAAAAGGTCAGAGGCTGGAAACTATAGGCCAATATCACTGACGTGTATTGCCTGCAAGATCATGGAGCATATTCTCGTCAGTAATATAATAAAGCATGCAAATAGGAACAATATCATGTACCATCTGCAGTATGGTTTTCGAGAAAAGAGGTCTTGCGAGACACAGTTGCTGGAATTTGTTCATGACTTCGCATGTAATATGCAGGGAGTAGGGCAAACGGATGTCTTGATCATGGATTTCTCAAAAGCCTTTGATAAGGTGGCCCACCAACGTCTGATAAGGAAGCTTGGCTTCTATGGTGTAACGGACAAAACAAGGGATTGGATACAGGCCGAACTCAGCAAGTTGTCGTTAAAGGCAAATTTTCAGACTCTGCTCAAGTGCTATCTGGTGTTCCTCAAGGATCTGTAATGGGTCCTTGTCTTTTCTTGTTCTACATTAAGGATTTGCCAGAAAATCTGACCTCTACAGTTCGCCTGTTTGCAGATGACACCTTGCTTTACCCAGCTGTGGAGTCGCAAAGTGACTCTAATTCTCTGCAGAAGGACCTGCATGAACTTGAAAATTGGCAGAACAAATGGCTTATGGACTTCAACACAAATAAATGCCAGGTCCTGCGTGTGTCCCGTAAACGGGATCCACTAAACCATGCAAACATTTTTCATGGTAAGAACTGGAAATGGTTGACTCTGTAAGTATAGAGGACTAACTATCACTTCGGACCTACGATGGAATCAACATATCTCGAACGTTGTAACCAAAGGAAACCAGACTCCAGGCTTCTCGAAAAGAAACCTCAGAATTAACTCTCCAGACCTGAAAGCAATCGCCTACAAGAGCTAAGTACGGCCCACTGTGGAATACGCCTCAGGTGTTTTGGACCCTTATACCAAACAAAATAGGGATAGAGTAGAAATAGTACAACGTAGGGCAGCACGTTATGTCCTTTAAGTACACCTAAACCCAAAAACTTTTCTTCGCTTCACGAAATAAGCGTAATTTCCGACATCTGTAACAAACTATCACCGATACTACTTTTTTCCCTACTACCATTACGGACTGGAACAGCTTAGCCCTGAACGTTGCTGAAACTCAATCTATAAACTCTTTCCGAGCCCAACTGGACATGATATGGTTATTGTTATTTAAACTATTATTATTATTATTACTATTATTATTATTAATATTATTAATTGCTATTTAATTTTGTTCTTTGATTCTTATTCTTGGTGTTATTATAGTAGTATTATTATAGTATTTATCCTTAATATTATTCTTTGTGTTATAAGGCCGCTAACCTCTTGCTAAGAATCATCGCATAGATGGAGAGCAAGTATTAGGAGAATAAATAATTAAAAATAAATAATAGTTACAAAACGTACCTGTCGAAGGTTGCGATAAATCTTGTCTTTCAGTTCTCTTGGTTTCAACGGCCATAAAATTAGCCCAATGGCGGAAAAAATCACTTTGTAATTTTGGATCTGTAACTAGTCGTAATAGTGTTTCACGATCTTTATCGTAATAGACAAAATCAGTCTCTCCAAGAATTCTTCCATTCGAAGAATGCACTGTGACAGTTACTATACCGGGCTTACGAGATGCTGAGATAAAAAAATTAAAATACATAAAGTAAACAACAAATAACGTAAAGTGAGGAAAATATACACAAAAAGCGGAAGTGTAAATCTTCTAACATCTAAAACAATAAAAACCAACTAACCCGGAATTATACCAATTAGATTAAGATCATTCCTTCTCTCCAAGTAAACAACAGCCTCCTTCCCAAAGTCTGCCCAGGTAGACCCTACATCAAGTGGGAGACTATCCTCAAAAACCAGGATAAATGGATCTCGACCCTGAAAGAAACGTATGCCACTCGTTAAATTTATCTTAGATAGCAAAGTTTTTGAAGAAGACGTATGCCTCAGGTAGTTTCTGGAACTTAAATTTACTTTAAGTGGAGACCCTATGAACGCCGGCGAGCACACAATATCGAAAGACATTTAAGTGTTTGGAAAAGTATACAACAGAGTTAAAGTTCAAACGAAAAGAAGAGGTATACTACTACAAAAACGAGGAATTCTTTACCTCAATAGGCCCTTGCTGTGGAAAGATTCTTAAAATATCTAAAAACAAACAAATGTTACCTGATTAATTGATGTTAACAGGACATTTCGAGGCCTCACTAAAGTCTTAGAGACACTCCAAATCACTTTTGATATGGGTTTTTTGCAAACGTGGAGCCCTCGTTCATTGGAAAACCTCAGGACTACAAAAAGAGTTACTTAACAGATACAAGCGTTCCCTCGGTGAAGGAGCAGCTTCCTGAGTAAAGGCATTCCTTCAGTGACGGTAACAAAAACGACAATCAAAGGTAAGCTTTCAAGTCTGGATCCAAGGCTGCTTCCCTTGAAGGTGTTGCTTAAATAGAAGTTTCTCAAATAAAAGATCTAAACTATTAGAATACTTAAAGAAAGTGAAATAATCTTCCACGTCAGCTCAAGTAAGACATACATGTGTATACCTTCAGACTTTCCTAGATCCTCTGACGACAATGGCTGTAAAATAAAAATACGAAATGAATTGTAAATGGTTAGAAATTTTAATTCTAGACTTACTCTTATGACAGATTTGGAAATGGTAAAATGCAGTTTAGAAGACAAGAAATTGTTTTCTTGTTATGTCTTGATGTAGAAGCAACAATTAACTTTTGATTACTAAAAAGTTACAAAAGAAGAGAATTCTTTACCTAAAAGAGACCTTGCTCTAAGCGGGCGTCTGAAATAGCTAAAAACAAACAAAAATTACGTGTTAAGTAGGTATGAACAGGGCATAAAATAAAATGCCTTAGTTTTGGTGAAAAAGCACACAAAAGGAGGTATTTTTAACTGAGCGTCAAAAGTAATCCTGCATTGCACAGATAGTGCACTTTTCAAGAGAGTATCGAGAGTGATCTTGGGAAGCTTGCTTTGATATTGCCCTTCCTCGCTCATTGATTGGTCTACAAAACTCACGCCACCATCTCAACCGATCAAGTGTAAATACTATTCACTAGATTCGCCGACAGGCGGGGACACCGCAAAAGCTTGCGCCAATTACTGCGGGCCCAGTAAACCCACCCATCCCACCCCAGGGGAGGACATCCACCATACAGTAATCTCGTGCGTGGGAAATTAACGTCTCCTACCCCTAACCCAGCAGGAGACGGGGCCTACGGTTTATTCGTCCTTATCCGAGAAGACTAGAATATCTATCCATTTCTTGATATTATAGAAAGGTAGCAAATTCTCCTCAGTTGTTTTAAGACCATGAGTATTGGTCCGGCCGGGACTCGAACTCTCGACCTCCCGCACAACACAATCCGGCGCTCTAACCAATTGAGCTAACCGGGGGGCGGTTGACCAATTCCAACTTGGTCACTCCCGTTTTCCCGCGCTTTGCGCCGGTTGCCTGTTTTCAAATTGAGTTTTCATTAGTTGATAATGACGTGTAATCTTCGTTCTGATTGGTAGTTGTAATTACTTTGGTTTTGGTTTTCACGACACTCGATTGAAAACTTCTTTGATGCTTTACTGCGCATGCGGTTGGTCTTAGAAAAAAACTTGATCCACAATCCAATGTAGAGCTAAAACAAGTGGAGGTTTGGTAATTCGCATTTCCGGCATGTGAGGTCCTATGTTATTGAATTTAGCCTTAGCTACGTTTTTTTGATTGGCCTTTGAGATTCCTTTTGCTTTGGCTTCGCGACACTCGATCCTTTAAGTGTACTTACCTTCTACCATTTCGACATCTCCTTGTTCCTGCTATAAGAGAAGACACCAAGTCAGCTAACTCGCTACTTCGAAAATATTCACCTCTGTGCACACTTACTTTATCATGAATACCAAAGACATACTCATAATCGTAATCTACGAGGTTTTAATACTTCCACAGAAAGAGAAGGGCATTCCTGACTCTCCCAAAACTGTAACTTTTAATAGCATTAAGCTTCTGTGCTTTTCATTCGAAAATAGGTCCTTGAGTACACCGTGAAAATTACGTTGATCCCTCCGCGAGGTGTGGACTATTTTTTTAGTTGAGTAGTTCAAAACATTTTTTGGATTTCTGAGAAAAGAAGGAAAGTCTTTACCTCAGTGAGAGCCTGATTGGGAGGGGATCCTACAATATAAAAACAAGACACAAGTTACATTTGTTCGAGATAAAATGCTTTAATCAAAATAAACACACCGACACACAGAAGTCAAAGCGTTAAAAAAAAAAAAACCTCACTACAGGTTCGAATATAGAGCTTTAACCAAAAGAGGCTTGGTCGCCCAGCTTTCCAGCGCCTGAGGTTGTATTATATCTACCTTTGTTTCGATTGGTCGACGAGATCACTTTTTCTATCAGGACGCTCAATAGGAGCGCTTTCTTTTAACTGTACTTACCTGAAGCCTTCTCGACGTCTACTCGTTCCTGTAACAAGAGAAGACACCCAAGTCAACTGACATGCTACTTCGAGCATATTCACGTTCCGTGTTATGCATCTCATGTCAAAGACATGCATGTACACGTAATTCAGCCAGTTTTCGTATTTGGGGCAGAAGAAGATTACGAGAACGTTCAAAAGGGCATGTCTCTCAATCAATTCACATTTATTCAGATTAAGGTGCAGCATTACGTTTTCGGATTTCTAGGAAAGAAAACCCATGGAAAATTATAAAGCAAGGGGAGCCAAGGTCAGGAAAGAGCGTAAAAAGGCCGATTCAAAAAACGTGTAAAGTAAACCTAACACAAGAAAATAGGGCAAAAAGTTTCCAATGTAGTGGACGTCTACTGACACATCAGACGAAACGGTCACTGGGAGAGGGTGTGGAGAAAATAATTTCTTGTGCTAGGGATTAAGTAACCTAGAAAAACAAACCTTTCGTACAGCGACCTCACAAAGCATTGAGAGAGGATTCTAACAAACAAAAAATCAGAACAAAGATAAAATTGCCGACATCCTGGAGAATTATGACAGTTAAGAGAAAGATCAAAAACTTCTTTGAACGCTTTTACACTGAGATTCATAGAATTATAGTTCTCACGACGGCCAATCTAAAGAAAGGAAAACAATTTTAAGAGCTAATGAGTACTCAAGGTAAAAACAACCAAACTGCCCCAAGGCACGGAAAAACGGGGGTGACCAAGTCGTGAGTGGTTTTAGTTTTGCATCTGATTGGCTGAAAGAGTGGCGCGAATTTTATGGACCTATCACAGAGCGAAGTAAAGCAAAACCAATGCAATCCCGAATTTCTTACGACACTAAACTGAAAATTACTGTTTACAACGTCCAGTTAAAACGATTTAAACCACTAATTTGTAAGTGAGGCACAAAATGATTTTTGGATCCAAACTCCGCCATTTAAAGTACATATGAAATAGTCGCTCTTTGAGAATCCAAGTACTAACCTAATTAACTCAAATTGGTTGTTGCCGGGAATTTTTATGTTTTCCTAATTTATGACACGGTAGGAACCTTATCTAAACGAGCAAGTAAAGTCAATGATCAAGGGTGATTTACAACCGTATACCCAAACATTTAGATACAGAGTTCAAGAAACCCTCAGTTTCAAATTACCATAAACGTAAACCTTTCCCAGGTTAGTGAGTTTTAGTTGCATTAGAGCCACTTTTCAAACGAGGTTTAAGCAAAGCAGGGGTGATTCAAAACTATATACCCACCTGGTCTCTTACTGTCTTTGGGGGTACCTGGATTTCCTCCATAACTATGTAAAGGGCTGACTTTCCTTTTAGGATTCTTATTATTGTCCTTCCATCCCATACACGAGGAGACCCATGAAATTGAAGAGTACTATCGTGGTTACTGATTGATGCACAAGAAAACCTAATAAACAAAAAACATTGTTTCTAATAGGAAAGTTTTTTACTAGGGATTTTATTCTTTCTCCTTCTTTGCCTCCCAGGTCATAGCCCTGAAACTGACAATTAAAGAATCAAAACGCAAACTCTACATGAACAAATTTTTGAGATTCCTTTGGAAATACTGGAACAATCTGTTATCAGTAATGGAGTCAGTTTTACAATTACCTCTGACCTCAACGAATCAAATTTTAATTGTCTCAAATTACTAAAAATAACTTTTCTTTACCTTCCACTTAAATCAAAGGTAGGAAATTCTTCTTGAATTGTTTTCCTCACTGCTTCCTCTGACATGCTTTTGGAAAATTGGACCTGTCTTTTGTACTGTCCAGTCTTTCTCATTCTTGCCATCTCAATAATGGTTGGCATAAGTATTTTACCATTCCCTTGAACTAAATCTTCTTTCTTCAACAACATCACATTTTTAACATAAACATCCCCTCTCACAGCTGCACCAGCTGTAGCTGAATGTACGTCCAGAACAGTGTTATCTGAAAAATGAACATGTAATTTGAAACAATACCATTATAATGCATTACCCAACTTCAATGCCCTCAAATTTCACGAGTGAGTAGCATCCTTGCATAAACAACTTGGTAGCTTGTACAGTTACTAGGGCTTGGTACCAACTTCACGATAGATGCCTCTCTATAAAAATAAATTTCAAAAGCTGACTCGATATTACAGACACTCCAAATCACTGATGATATGGGTTTGCAAACTAATACAGAAAAACCTCCCTCCAGGACACAACCTCAGGACTAGAAAAGGAGTTGCTCAGATAGAGGTGTTTACTCAGTGAATGAACAGCTTTAGTGGAACCTTTATTCAGGGGGAAAATGAAAAAATCACAAAAAGTGTACCCCAAAGAAGGGCATTTCTTCAATGAAGGTAACAGATACAGCAGAACCTCCATCCAGAGAACAAGCTGAAGATCAGAGAAAGTTCTCCCTAAATAGGAGTGTTCCTCCAGTGACAGTAACTGATGCAAAATTTAAAGAGAAGTTTATGAAGTCTGGATTCAAGGCTACTTTCCTTGAACAAGGTGTGTCTAAAATAAAGGTTTTCTCAAATAAAAGCTTTAAACCACTAGAATGCTTTAAGAAAGGGAGATAATCCTGCCGGAAAGCTCAGGTAAGACATACATGTATATACCTTCAGGTTTTCCAGATGGTTCAAATCCTGAATCTAAGGTATCTGATGGCTGCAGAATAAATTTACGTACTGAATAGTAAATGGTTAAAATTGCCAGTTTTAGCTAAGATCCAAAGATAGATTTGGATGGGCTGTAAAATGCAATATTTAGACTTGTCAAACATTTTCTTGTATGATAATGATGTAAAAGCTCTAACTTACTGGAGATTTAAAAAAGCAAAGCTCATAAGCAGTACTAATACTTGTTGTTTTGAGTACTTGTTCATAAAAATAAAGAGAGAGGATAAAAATCCTTTTCAAGGAGTGTTGAATGCCAGTTTCAAATTTTGGACAATTGGAGAGGTACTTTGTCAAATGGAGTGCTTAATTGATGGGAGGTGCTAAATTAAAAATTTATGATTTAATTATCAGATTTCAATTTCCCAAACCAGAATTATCATCATCTATAGCTTTATACCTCAAATTCAGAAGTTTGTATAGTGAAAGGTCCACTACTCCCTTGGTCTCCAGCCACAGGAATTGAACCTGCTGATTCTTTCTCTGCAACTTGGGAAGAATCAGTTTTCTCAACATTAGGCTGTTCCTGATCTGGAGATTTGAATTTTTCTGTTTCCTGCTGATCCCCTACGGAATCAGATCTGTCACCTTCTGGCCCTGTCAAAGAGAACAGCTGAGAGATTTCAGTGGTGTCCACAGTTGTTAAGGCCTCAGAACTTCCCAAAATGGATGCCTCTGCAGTAACAATGTTCTGTGATGGCTGAGAAGGTGCACTTGTAATATTTAAGCTCTGGAGCTAAGGGGCAAGTGTTGAGGTTTGTGGTGCTGATTGCAACCCTGGACTGTTAGAGGCAGGCAAAAGTGGCATCTCTAAGCTTTGTTGAGCAGGTCCTGTGTTCAAGGCATTATTTCCACCTATTGCTGCAGGAGCAACAGGAATCCCTCCAGCAGTAGGAATCACAAAAAACGGGAATCCTCCTAAATATGAGATTAAGAACTTCAGCTAAAATTGGGATTTTCTCTTTCTTAAATCAAAATTAGAAACAAAGTCTATAAAAACAGACACTTTTGTTAGGAGGAGCACCATTGACAATATAAGTAAATTTCTTATAAATTTAGATTCTAATAAATCTTTTAACCCCTCAGGGTGAATTAAACATTAAGGGCACGAGAACAAAGGAAATGATCACCAGCTAAGGAAGCCTTGATTGTTAAACAAATTCTCTTTTTCAGCAGCTTACAAAATATATGGAGAGCAGTATGGAGAATATGCATACTGATGTTAACGAGTCAATGTTCATTAATGCATTTCACATGTACTGTGTATAGAAGACTGGTTTGCATAGCTACAATAAATCAGCAGTCACTGCATTTGAGGCCATTTGTAACAATGCCACTCCCCTTCGACAGAACAGTCTATTGTAATGCAACAGCTCATCAGGATTTGCTGAAAATTTGTCGCCACCCATAATTGTACAGTCCAAAATCATTTGTGGATGAAAATAGGATATATTGTTTAGTTGACACCTTACCCATTGACAGAGGCTGTTGCACCCAAAATATAGTATTCCTTGTTGCTGCAGTTTCTTGCTGCACATTCATAAGCGGTCTTTCATTTGATAACTCTATATCACTTTTCTCAGAACCTTTTTCAGCTTGCCCTGATACCAAATTTGAATAACTTGTAATGTTTCCAGTTGGAACATCATATGTAGAAATAACACCTGGTAGCTTTTCAGGGATTGGTTGAACATTAGTATCCAATGATGATAGTGACATTTTCGCTGGACTGACACTGCTCATCAACTCTGCACTCGTTGTGATCTGATCAAATGAACATTTCACTCCCAGCTGCTCTCTAAAGGAGGACTCGTATCCAGAATCCACCACCACCTCTGATCCTCCAGAATCAGGTGCAGAACCTTTCTCTTGATGCTCCTATCAGAAATAATGTGTCTTAATTGCCATGATATTCATCATTGTTGACAGATGTGAAATTTTCAATGAATCTCTCCTTTAATTGCACTAAAAGAACCATTCCAATCCACTTTAGGTCATGTTTCTAGTCAAGACTGACACACCACTGACTAGCATAAAGGGATTATCTCATTACCCTGGACATGACGTTACTCTGTTATAGATTACCCCCAAAACTCACTTTCCTGGCTTCCCTGATTAGTTGCTAGTACCCATGTACGAATGGAACAAAAAGGGGAAAGGAGATGGTGCTGCTTTGAGTTCCCTTGCCTTCCACTGCTGGAGTCCAAGTGAAATTCCTAGACCCAGTGTCATATATGGGAGGGTATTACGCTGGTCAGTAAACCCATTGGTCTTGTCCTCTCTACCAGGTTTTTTCCACTGAGTTCTCTGCTTTTCCTCTTAATATAAAATTAATCACTCCAGATTCCAATAAGATCTAGAAATGATGAATTGGGAGCTAATTTGTGGAATTGAAGCTAACTAGAATCCTATTCATTTCCTCCTGTTACTAATGTTGTATCTTTTTTGACTGTCACCTAGTTAGGGCTAGACCCAGGATTTTTCCATAATTTTGCAGTCCGGTGTGCTTAAATATTACCGTATTTACCCGTGTATAATACGCGCCCATGTATAATACACACCCTTACTTTTAACCAAATTTATCAGAAATAAAGTTTTTCACAGAAAAAATGACAAATTAAATCTTCGTACACTTTTTCATTATGACAACAAGAATATGAAATGTACGATATCGTTAACACTCATATCTTTTCTTACTTGGTTATTTATGACATTATTGAAACCAAACTTCAGGACTTCAAGCGAGGCCTTGCTAATTTGACGATTCCATAGCCCGGTAAATATTATGAATGAGCAACAATGTGTCCGAAAAGTATTGAAGAGTTCGTGTCAAATCGTCATATTTTTAGAATTTTCAACCAAACGCTACGCAATGTTTTGGCCGTAAGGTCAAGTAAGTAACAATATAACCACAATGAATTTCACAACGCGCGCCTTGTACACGTAAGAAATTCGCACGTTTTTCATTCACAACGGCAAATCAAGAATTTCTTTAAGTAACGCTTTTGTCCTGAAATATTTCTTGCTCGCTTTCATCTTGCTACTCATTGAAAAATTCCGTGTAACATGAGATCTCTTCACCAAAGGCCAAATTTGCATATTCACCTTGAAATCTAATCCACATGCCTGTTAGCACACTTGCGAAAACATTTAGCGATTTATGTCTTTCCTCTTGAATTTAGAGTAAAAAATTAGTATGCTCCTATAATTTTTCATCGAAAATAAGCTATTTAATTAACGCTTCAAATGTGTTACTTTCTTTGTTGTGTTTTTAACGTATGCAAATTAGGACGTGCGTGACAATTAAAATCCGCAATTTTGATATTTTTTATAGAAGTGCGTATTTTACACGGGTAAATACGGTACTTCATCACATCAAGCCCAGTATATCAGCCTCATTTATGTCACTCCCAAGATTTAATTATCAATTTTCTGCACTGCTTCCCATACATTTCTTAGAATTCTTCCCCTAAAAGTTGTTGTTAAATCAAGCGATATCCCCTAGCTAGTTGCTATTTTCCCCTCTTCTTGTCACTCTTCTGCTTGAATATGTGCAGATATTGTGAATAAGAATTCTTTCCAGGTCGCTCTTGGAACGAAAGGATTCAGGGATCCTCATTACCACCTTACAAAGCCCATCACTGGTTAACTTCTACTGATGCCCCTGCTCCATTACCTCTTCTAGAAAGATATAGAGAGCTGAGTTTCCTTTTATTGTTTTCTTGATGAAGTGTCCATCCCAAATACAACGTTCACCATGAAATTCTAATCTTGTTCGATTATCCACGACTGAAGCACAGTAAAACCTGGGAGAAAAGAAATTAGTATTAACCCAAGATCTGATTATGAATTCTCTCCTCTAGCAGCTAGACGTTTCCATGTAAATTGGTCACAAGAATTTGGTGTTCAATCAAGGTAACAAGTTCCACCTGATAAGTTTGAGTATTCTCATTACCTGCTTGCTGGATCGCATATGGATATTCTAGGAAGAATTTACAGGTTAATCTCTTCTGGGAGTTAATGAGTTAACACCCAGACAGCCTTGATAAAGTATTTGGACTTACCGACTGACTGACTTAAATGACTAAGTCACTGACCAACCATCCAGCCAAATAGCTGGCTGATGGTTTGAGCAAATCTGCTTGGATTCATTCATTTACTGCATGATTAATGTCACCATCTATTTTCTAGTGACGACTTCTAAACTAAAGTTGTATCAGTCTTACACTAAATATAATCATATGACTAATGTGCATATAGTATGCCACCTTGTGTTTGCAATTTTCCAATAATCAAACAAACCACACCAAAATATCAATTACCTTTTGCCGGTCAAAATTGGAAAGTGCTCCATCAATGTTTGCTTTATGTCACTTTCTGTCATCTTTGAAGAAATTGGTATATTTGTCTTAAATTGTCCTTTATCTGGTTTCTTGAGTTGAGCCATTTCAATGGTGTTTGGCATAAACACCAAATCATCCCTAACTCGAACGTCTCTGGTCCTTAGAACCACAACACTTTTTCCTGTTGTTGCATCAGGGTCTTTCCTCATCCTTTTTGCCAGGAGAGGCTCATTAATAACATTCTCCATATAGTTCTCAACAGAATTTGCAGCCATTTTTGGTGGAAATATATTCTGTTCAGAGATACAAGGAGGAGGGAGCTAAAGTCAGTGTCCCCTTGGAAATCATGTCACCTTAAATAAATGTTCACAACTGTTCTTAATTATTCTTCCCATATATAACATGTTAATAACCAATTAACTAAATTTCTAACTTGCTAAATCAACTTAGTGTACTCAATAAAGCAAATTCATATCACCTGTTTGTTATATGCTAATGAGTTTAATGAGACAAACACTTCAAACGATTGTGAATATTTATTCAATCAACCCATGTTACAAAGGGTAGTTATTTTCATTTGAGGTAACGGCAAGGTCACAAGAATCAGCTGAAAGGCAAGTATATTCAAAAGCACTGCATGTATGCGTGCACACCCACTCTCTGATGGCTCCACAGAATGTTCTTGGCACATTCTTTGCTAAGAGACCACTTGTTTAGAACAGTCTAGTACACCCCATCATGCATCTCATATTCTCCTGAACTGTTTTACAGACGAGTGATTCAGGCGTTCACAGCAAATCTTAATTGTCCTTCTCATTAGCATTTGGCAAAACTCGTCAGTATTTAACAAATGGGTGATGTGTATCCACTCAAATATTGCGATACTAGATTAAACTTCCACTTATTTGTTCCCACCAAGTCAAATCAGTCCTGAAAAATACTTAAAATCAGAAGTAGCACAGAGTAACGGTCAGTAAGAGAGAAAGGAATTGATGCAGCACAAAGTGATTGATGGCTTTAGCAAACAGGCGTCATTTCCTCTTAAAAAAAGTAAGTTCTAGAGTGCAAGTGAAACATACCTCTAGATCAGAAATCAGAAAAATGAAGACATTTAAGTGGTAAGAATCATGTTTTGAATGAGCTTATTTTGAATGAGCTTAAATATATAAATATTCCTGAGGTTTGCAGATCCTGCCTTTTATCAAATTATTGTAGCCAGCATCCTTGAAAATAAATTCAAGAATGTCTCTTGAGAAGGTCCAGTCTTGTTTTACGAGAAAAATGCCACATGATAGAGCAATAGTTAGAATGAGGAAGTATAAATGCCCTGTAAAGATGTGGCACAGTTTCAGTAGACATCAGTTTGCCAAATCTTGTCATAACGCTAGACTGGTTGTTTACTTTTTCAGATACAGACAACACATGTTGCTTAAATGTAAGATCTTATGTGGTTGAAATCCTAAAGCAACTCATTGAGTAATTTACTGAGAAATTGAGCTGATGGCCGGTGTTTCCTACTATCATCCCTTGATGTTTGCAAGTGATGAGGCACCTCTATAATATACCTTGTTAACTTGGTATTATATTTATGATTTGCACTACTTTTTAGGGTTACTTTTTCCTACGGAGGTTATAATGCCATGTTGTTAATTTTTGCCATCCTTAGACTTTTCGTGTTAATTATTATTTGTTATTAATTTTTTTAATACAAGTTTCACACCTTTCAGTGTTTATCTTTCATCATGCATCATTCCTTCTCGTACACGGAAACAAAGATGAAATATCACAACGTAACTCCCCAGAGCAACATCCACTCAATAAATCCTTCGTCTTCAACATATTTAAAACCAATATCGATCATGAAGAAACAGATGTGCCTAAACGGTGATCTACCGATTAGAAACGACATATTTGAAACATCCTTTCCAGCCAAAGCAAATTCAAAGTTAATATGAATATACTGCGTTGCTTTTCTCCATATAGAACTACTTCATAAAAAGGTAATTAAGTTAGTGAAGAGACAGCAAAATTACCATAAAGGAATAACAGCGATGCAAATCTACATACAGTCTGTCGCATTCTTGTCAGAGCACGTTGTTTACATGAGGTGAATTGTTTTTGGGAAACGGCTTGCTGGATGTTCTTTGCCAAAGTTCAATCTCGTGACTAACAGAGCGTAATACTTTAAAGACAGCCATGATGTAGATCTTAACGAAAGTGAAAATGTCAATATGTTGTTGAAAGTTTACAGGCCTTGATACTGTCGCACAGCTTTTCCAGAATACCGTGCTAGTCTACGACGATCGCAACGTATGTTAAGTTCGAAATTCTACCCACAATTTAAGACTTAAGTGAAGAGAGTGACTAAACACCTTTGGAATAATTGCTCTCAGCAAGAAATTGAATAGGGATGACAAAGGGCTTGCGTAGCTTTCATGGTTCCAATGAATTAAACAAAGCCTCTGTACCAAAGAAACTAAGTACTAGCATCGATCTTCCGTCAGAAACTAAGGTAAATTATGATCTTCATGTGAAATTAAAACTTCTTAAGTCAAAAATTACAAGAGGTTTAATCCAGACTGGCTTAGCGAGCTTTATGAAACGGTAACAAGTCATTTTAAAATCTTGAAATAGTATTCCAACCATGCCGCAGAAAGGAGTGTTGGGAACAAAAGAGACCGTTTGATCGTAAAGACGTTCGTAAACACACCCGAAACACACTAATACCATGCAATTTGACTAGAGCGGAAGTTGCTGGAATACCAAGAGGATCTTTGATTTGATCTGTTTTCAAATCGATAGCGAAATAATTTGCGCGCACGAACAACAAGGTATACCAAGGGACAAGCCTGTAGTTACTGACTTACGCTCAAATCAGTGAGACATATCACTGTATTTAGTACAAACGACTATATTAAGAAAAATGTATGTCTTTTGACTGATTCCGAAGAATATATCGTACAAAAGGTATATAAATTAGTGTTTTGCCTTACCGTTTTGCCGACCTAACTGTGATGACGAACGCTTAGACCACGTGACCGTTCAAAGAAGGCTTTACTTCAATGGCTTCCTTACATGTTTTTTTTTGGTTTTTTTTTTTTTTTTTTTTTTTTTTTTTTTTTTTTTTTTTTTTGGTTTTTTTTTTTTGTTTGTTTTTTTTTTCCCTCAATCATTTTCCATATTACAAAAAAATTTAAAATTCCAGGAAAAGAAAAAAACAGCAACGGACAAACAAATAAACATCGTTTTCTCCTCATTTCTCTTCACGCTGCCTCTTCCTGCAACAGCCAAAACGAAAAAACTTCGCCACCAAAGTAAGTAATCTTTTGGAACGGCTTTTCTGCGAGAAAGAAAAATTTCATATCTGTGAAAATTTAAAAATTGAAACTTAAAGAAGAAGTGGCTACATCTCAAAGAGCGTGCTTTGGACCATACTTTGGAAAAAATATCGAGCAATGCTGAAAGCATAATGTGCTTCTTTCACTAGCACAATCTATCTATAAGGGTCTTGGACGAGGCTGCTTATGTCATTATATAGAGCCCGTTTTGATAATTGCAACGCTCGTGGACAACTTGGAAGGTAACTCAATTGGAGGAGCGCGGAGAGCAAGGAACACATGAGAAGAAAGAAGCACAAAAGAGCGTCACTTCCTTTCTACTTAACGTTCCTTCCCTCGCCCGAGTCTTCAGTTGCTTCTCACTGTTGTCTCGTATTTGCCCTCGCTCACCCGTAAAACGCAAAAACATCAAAACATGACACCCATTTCGCTGATTAACAGAAATATAAATTGTAGACCCGATCATTCTTACTTTTTTCTTGCTGTATTCAGCGACTCCCATGACTCCACTGGCACCATCCTTCTCGTCTTCCTCATCAATAGTAGAAAAGTCAACTTTCAGCATAGAAAGGGAAGAAGAAGGGGAGGAAGTTTCTGGTGAGCTAGCGATGGCGTCAACAAATTGTACGCTTGAGGTGGATTGCGGTTGATATGACATATCTTTGTGTCGTTCCGAAGACGGAGGCTCGAGCTTGAGTGGTGTGGTGGGAATGACTGACACTCTAGTGTTTTCCGTTTTTTGGTCGGTGTCCTCCCGAAGTTGGAAAGAGATGGCCTCAGGGGAGTTCACGGGTAGGACACTTGGAGGTGATGGAAGGCATATAGGCCGGATAACGTCCTGAATCTTTCGGGGAGTAAAGGTTGATTGACTAAGGATGAAGGTACCTTCATCTCTCCTCCTGGAAGGGACATTCAAGGCGATGTGCTGCAATGACAGTGAGAAAAGAGGAAAGGGCCGAAGAACTGAGGTGAGCGGATTTTCCCCTCCAAGCTCTGGGAATGCTCTCTCAATCAATGGAATAGGGACCACCGAAAAACGGACGGCAATTCTTCTCCTCGGTACAGTAGCCATTTGCATCACTCCAGTAATTTCCAAACCAGTTGGTGGGCTGCGCTCAAAGGAGGAAACCGTCTGAACCTAGTTTTTGACCAAGACAACGTCAGCTCTTAGAAGGTTATTTGTTTTAGGTGCCATAGAAGTAACTCTGTTGTGCAGTGATCTTGTTAAGTTTTTCATCAGTTTCAAAAGTTTTCATAAGATTACATTATCTAGTCGTAATTTTATCACATTGCATGCAGTTGATTGTCTATACCTAGTTTGCGTTGGGAGTTAGACGGGTTAGGATTGTAGGAAGCTTTATAATGATCTAAATTTCAAGTTCCTTTAATTTAGAAACTTACCCTCTTATATATTAGGGTTGGGTCGGTGGTAGATATTGTAAGGGATCCCGCGTCCTATTGTTTATTCGCTTTGTATCAAGAGAAAATAAACAGTTGATAGCCTCTTGCCTAGTACTTTGTACCTTGTACGGTACTGAAAACTTAAAATAATATTATAACATAACCAAAGTAAAGCGCGCGCTCTGATTGGTCAATTTAGCGTCCCCCATTTGCCCATGGGTGTACGCTGCTGACGTGAGCAAATGCAAAGACTATTTTTCCGCGCGCGCTTGTTTTTTCTGGTCACGTAAGATTTGTTAAATAAAAGGGAACTCTTTAGCTACAATGTATCAATGTTATGTTATAAAACAAATGGTAAACACCACAGCGTACACTATTGAGTTATGGATGCACTTGGGAGGTTTGCTAAGCACTCAAGAAGCTAGAGTCGCTCTCGGCTATCGCCTCGAGCGACTCTTACGCTTCTTTCGTGCTTAGCAACCTCCCGCGTGCATCCATAACTCAATAGTGTACGCTGTGGTGTTTACCATTTGTTTTATAACATAACATTGATACATTGTAGCTAAAGAGTTCCCTTTTATTTAACAAATCTTACGTGACCAGAAAAAACAAGCGCGCGCGGAAAAATAGTCTTTGCATTTGCTCACGTCAGCAGCGTACACCCATGGGCAAATGGGGGACGCTAAATTGACCAATCAGAGCGCGCGCTTTACTTTGGTTATGTTATAA